ACTAAAAATATCACCACGGGTGACCTCTGCTCCAGTCTTCACACCTGCCAAGCCTGAGCACACCCCACCCTGCAGTGCCCCAGCTGGGCTCCATGCCACTCCTGCTGGGGCTCCCAGGCAGCCTGGAGGAGGAGGAAGTGGTGCCACCAGACCAGGACCCCACACAGCAGAGGGGGTCCCATGGGGAGAGGAAGAGGAGGAGGAGAGGGAGGAACCCCACACCATCAGAAGCTGGCCCGGATGTCCTATGCACCCTGCTGGGGAGAGGAAGGGAGGGGCAGCAGGCTGCGCCACTCAAGGACAAATGGCACAGCCCCCTTTCTTGCTTCTTCCCACAAGCTGGTGTCCCAATAAAGTAGTGAAATGTCTGGCAGGGCTTTTCAAGACATTTTACTACTTGATGGGGCACCGGAACAGAGCATTTAAATCTGGAACAGTCCCAGAAAAAGCAGGACATATGGTCAGTGTACTTAGAGACAACAGGCCCCCTTGAACAGTGTTCACAGCAATGCAGTCATCAGCAGGTTGTGTCATTCTCTAAGTCATGTATTGGCAGGACCTTGCAGTTTAATGCATTTCCACAAAATTTATATGTGAATTAATTAATAGCTCGGGTGGAGACTTTATACAACAGTTGGAACCAACCTTGGTAGCCAGAGCCTCCTCGTCAAGGATTTTGCTATCCTATCCATTACCTTCCAGGACCAGTTTTTCCAATTAACCCACATCATTTCAAAGTTTTTCCACAACCAATAACAGGACGTGCACTTCACACAAACTGTAAAGCCAACATTTTCTTTAAATAAGCTAATTATAAGCATTTGAATACATAGCTAATCATACACTCTGTAAGGGACATTATTTCTCTTGGGAGACAAATTCTAATATGTATACATTTAGCCAGCTAATGGAATGCACAAAATCCCAACTTTGTTTGATCACCTGTCACCCAATTCATGTATTCAATACATATTTTCCATTGGATGTACTCTGTGTACAACGAAGTGATAAGGAATGTAGATACCATACTTTCATTTGCTATTACCAAACCGCTGGTTAATGGCTGACTGCTTTAGTGAAACTGTTTGGCCACAGATCCATGGCCAGATTGTGAGTGGCCTTAGTGCAAGGATGCAGGAGAAGCCCCTTCTCCTTGAACAAGGGCCACTGACATTTGTAGATTTTGCACTTGGGTGAGCACAAAGATTGCTCAAGCCACTCGTTCCAGAAGTGTATGCTGCCTTAGTGGAGGCAGGTAGGAACAGACTCTGGGCACAGGAAAAAAAGAAAAGAAAAGAAAGCCTTTCAATCCACCTGTTCTTTGACTTACTCAGGAAGGTACTTTGCCTCATTGATATACAATCCTTCAGTAAACTCACCTGGGACAATGCAGTTTCACACAGGCTTCTACAGAAGTCCACTGGCTTTATTATCTCATTCAGTTGAAACACTTTAAAAAGAATCTCAGCAGGTACTTCTATGACCTCCTGTAGAAATGGGGTGGGGGAAAGGATCATGCTATGTACTCACACTCTGCTCTAAAGTATCTTAGAGGTAGCCACAATCCTGTCTCTTATACACAGCAGATGTGCATTTGTCTCAATTCCCACCTTTCTACAGTGACAACAACATGCTGTCCAGCCTCTCTGTCATTGCTGTGCTCACAGTACATTATAATAAAAAATATCAAATAAATGATCCCTCTAAACAACCTATAGACCAGCACAGAACCTCATAACCAGTCTCACACTATCTGACAATGAGTTGCAGTGTATAAAGTTGTAGCACTTCCTTTGGCAGATACAGCAAAATAATTGGTTGTCAGAGCATTGCAAAACTCCTCTTGTCCTCTTATCTCCTTAACTGGTTTCATTTATTAGTTAAATTAAGATTAATTAACTTTCTCTGGAGGTTTCCCCTGTTACCTTTTAAAACACAAATCTACACAAAAGAAAAACTGGTTCATGTTTGCACCCATATAAGGCTTCAAACAACAGCAATAAGAATTGAAGAGAGACTTACGGCTCATTTAATTTGAGTATGAACACTCACACATCAGTCTGTAAGAGGAGCTCTTGCACCATCTTATGGAGATTAAGAAGAAAACACTTCAGATTTCAGAATCTCCTGACATCTAAATGACTGCCTGGTGCAATCTATTTAGTTTATTTCTAGATGTTCCCTCAGCATAGTATAAAACCCAGGTGTGACATTATTGGATTTTAATAGGAACACACAGATCATTGTTACGCCCACTGTTGTGTATTTGCCAGAAAGTCTGTGCAAAGCAGGCCAAGTGAGGTGTCTAATGAGAGCTTATGATTAAGTGTTGCCAATAAACATCTGAGGAATTCTACTGCAGACCACCATGTATGCCATGGCTGTTTGCCTAAAAAGGACATGATCAGTTTTCTTGCTCATGTGACACACTCCTGTGTGGTGGTATCTCCCAAAATGGAGACCAATGGAATTCTCTCTGAATGGGCAAGATTATGAAAAGGTTCTAGGCCCTCTATCTTTGTCTTCAATCCTGCTCTTGACTTCAGAAGCACCCTTGCTATGAACAGAGGGCCCAGAAGGATTTGTGGACCCATCCTAACAAAGAATGTACTCCAGAGACTTTTAAGATAGCAGTTTATTACAACTCAGCGATGAGCCAGCATCGAGTACTTGCTAATTGATGTATGTAATGTGATTTCTATAACAATTCTACTCTAACCTTTTCTTTCTTTTTATTAATAAACCTTTAGATTTTAGAGTCTAAAGGATTGGCACCGTCTGCTTTTTTGGGTAAGATCGAAGATATAAATTGACCTGGGAATGTGGTCTTTTGGGATTGGGAGAACCTGTCTGGAGTTGGTGAGATTGATTTTCATAACCTCTCACCTCTGTTAGGTGGGGTGCTAGTTGTGGCACAGGTAAAGCTGGGGTGTCTAAGGGGATTGCTTGTGAGATTTCTTGCTGGCCAGAGTGGTAGCTGAAGTGCCCTATGTTACTGGTTTGGTGCCTTATAGAGCGGGATCCTCCATCTTAGGTTGTGAATAGCTCTGGTTCTAAGCAATTCACTCTGATTTGACCCTTGCAACAGTGCCCCCAGACCTCTGTTACATTATACTAGGTATCACAGCAATCGCATGGTAGGTCACAGTCAAGAGCTTATTATTTATGATTTGATAGCACACAAAGTTTTTGCTTCACAGGAGAGAAAGAAAGAGATGATTTCTGCCCAATGTAATAACTTATGGTACAAACTATTACAGCTAATATTTATTATAAGGATATGTCGTGTGGTTTGATTTATTTTAGATCCAAGGGAAACCAGTACGCTCCAGGGCTACTTTACCACTTTCTTACTTATTGCAAACTTTAAGCTGTTAATACAGTTACAAGCCTTAAAAGCAATTGCTATACAAGCTAAACCTTAAATGCTATAAATTCTAAAGCAAATAATACAGCACAAAGCAATGCAAAAGCAGTTACTAAAAGATCTACTATATATAATAATAAACCCTAATTCACTTTCACTTCACCTGTATGCTACCTACAGTGCCAGGCAGGAGGTTGTGGTTCCATCTTTTCCCACCCATAGGAACGCCACCACTGACGTAGCCTAATCACTTTTAGTTACATTGACCCACATGTCCTGCTCGATCCTGACCGTCCCTCCCACCGATTGTTCTTACTAAACCCAATTTATAGCAGAGAGAGACTTGGTCATTCTAATAATATTTACCAATTGATTATGTATTGCGCAGGATACGTAAATTACCCAATGCCCTATTTGGGGTACATCCTGCTACTCATGATGTTGCTGCTATGTGCACAGTTAACAGTTTCATGGCTGCATCTGTACTTTTTGCTTATCGGAAACAAGTACCAGTACAAGGCCGCTTGTCCTGTGTTCTTGATGTGGTCTCGGTTACCAGGCTTAATCTGCAATGTTATGCAAAACATTTCCTGACTCTCACTGTTTTCTTGATTAACACAGCCTTGCCTGCGTGCTTTGTTACACCAGACTTGAGACAGGCCAGAAATCCACACTTTGGACAAGACAGGCATCACCATTTATTGCCAAGACAGAGTAGTGCAGGGTCCCCTACACTCCCCTCTTCAACCAGGTTGAGTCTACAGCGATAAAACATTTGGTCAGGAATGTACCAACTTAACTTCTCTTTAGTATGAGCCACATGAGAAACCACTTGCCATATAGCGACAGAAGTCCGCCATAAAAGTATCAACTGCTATAAGTATACATAATAATACTATCAGGTGGGTTAAAACATTTAAGTTTACTAGCTGTGAGTAAATATCCTGCAAATATATAATACCAATATTGCCCTGCTACCTATGCTATATATGCAACCAGCTTAAGCAACTACTTCTAATGGTATATAATAGTAACAGATGCCTGTCTTTCTTTGAGGAAGGTGGCCCCATATGTGATAATGGCCTGCTGCAACTGGCCTATTTCGTTGTTCATAGCATCCTGCTTAAGGCCAAGAATGGTTATCTAGTTTACAATACCACTCCTGTTTACTAGCCCATTCTGGGGTTACAGGAGAGAGGACAGGCGTTGTTTCCCCTTATTGCCCCTCTGTGTACAATAAGAATGGAGGCACTCCCCTCCCTTGTAGTTTATCTAATATTCATGTTCCATACCACTTTGCTTAGCTGCCTAGTCTTTAATATATTACTTTTACTAACTTAAACCATTACCATACTAAGCGGTTACCATTCACAGGAATTTAAGTTTCCTGTGCCTGCACCTTTTTTACATATGTTCTTGCTCATTTCTCTCTGCCTTCAGTTACCCCAATACTTCCCTCTACTTTTGTTTCATAAGCAGACCAAGTTTTATTTCCAACTACCACTTCATCATACTCAAAGGGTTTTTCTTTTCCAAAACAAAATCATATGCATTATACATTTGTTACAGGGTTACTTTATAAACGTTATATTTATCCCAGGATTAAACAATAACATTAGCATAATTTTCTTACAATTGGATGTTTTCTATGCCTTTAAAAAATTATCTTTGAGGCCAGCGTGTTCTGTGTCTTTCTGATATCTTTGAATAGGCTTTAATTTATCCTGGAGGTATGGGTAATTTAAAAAAAAATAGATGCATCATGCATGTAAGCAGATCCCTCTTGTACTGCCACTTGTATTTACACAGACGGTTTTTGTCTCGTTCTGATATTCAAAACTATCAGCAGCTTAGAGTCTCTGACGTAAAAGAGACACAAACTTTAGAGTTCTGCTTGCTGTTTACTTTAAAGTTCTGCTTGTTTGCTATTTTCCAAAAACAAGAAATCCTGAATCTCTTCCTTTAGTCTTTCCCCATTATTGTGATTCTGGCTGCCTCTTATAACAGCCATATCTTGGTCTATAAAAATATTGTACATTGAGACACCTTAAGGGTTAAATGTTAGATTAAAAAAGTTAAGCAACACTAGTTACCAATATCTGGCAAAAGTGTCTTGTAAGATTTGCAGCTCCAAATGAAATGGCATTATTTGAACAAAATAGAACCAATTCATTTACCTTAAACCTACAAAACAGAATTTCATAAACATCCAAAAACATTGGTTAAGTCCTAGAAACCTCACATATTTACACAATATATACATACATGTACATGCACACACAATCTCATATGGCATTAACTTGGGAAAATACCACAAACAGAGTTCATAGCCCAAACCACAAGCTAAGGCCCCCCGCCAGCCAAGAATCACCCAAAGTCCAACACCCCAAAAGTCTCTGTCCCTGATCAGTGTCGCCTAGAGTCCAAAAGTTCACCTGCTAGGTTTTACCGCCCAACCTGGGCAAAAAGGGGGTGGAGGGGATTGATAGGGGCACCTTATGTGGTCCGAGGCAGATGGCCCCACCTCTCCGTAGGGTTCTGCTGCAGTCTTTAACGCGAGCCACTCTGCCACGCTCCACCAGCTGTCTCAGTCCGCTCCTACTAGCCACTCACCGGTCGTTTCTACTGGCCGCTCCGCTGGTTGCCTGCCACTGCTTCTACTCGCTGCTCGCCGGTCGTTCCCACCGGCCGCTCCTCTGGTTGCCTACTGCCGCTCCTACCGGCCGCACTGCTGGCTGCCTGCCAGTTGTTCCCACCAGCCACACCGCTGGCCTCCGCCGCTCCTAGCGACCGCCCACCTGTCATTCCTGCCAGCCGTTTCGCTGGCTGCAACAGGTCTGGCTTCCAGCCAAACCAGTGATTTCATCTCTTAGTGATTTCAACTCTTTAGCCACCACCTAGACTGGCAAAATAGTCCAGCTTCCACTGGACTAGAAAAAGACTCATGGGCTGTGTCTAGACTGCATCCCTTTTCCGTAAAAGGGATGCAAATTAGACATATCGCAATTGCAAATGAAGCGGGGATTTAAATCTCCCCGCTTCATTAGCATAAAAATGGCTGCAGCTTTTTTTCGGCTCGGAGCTTTGCCGGAAAAAAGCGCCAGTCTAGACACGGATCTTTCGGAAAATAAAGCCTTTTCTGAAAGATCCCTTATCCCTCATTTTAAGATCCCTTAAAATCCCTCATTGTTCTTACTAAACCCAATTTATAGCAGAGAGAGACTTGGTCATTCTAATAATATTTACCAATTGATTATGTATTGCGCAGGATACGTAAATTACCCAATGCCCTATTTGGGGTACATCCTGCTACTCGTGATGTTGCTGCTATGTGCACAGTTAACAGTTTCGTGGCTGCATCTGTACTTTTTGCTTATCAGAAACAAGTACCAGTATAAGGCTGCTTGTTCTGTGTTCTTGAGGTGGTCTAGTGTACCAGGCTTAATCTGCATTGTTATGCAAAACATTTCCTGACTCTCACTGTTTTCTTGATTAACCCAGCCTTGCCTGCGTGCTTTGTTACACCAGACTTGAGACAGGCCAGAAATCCACACTTTGGACAAGACAGGCATCACCATTTATTGCCAAGGCAGGGTAGTGCAGGCTCCCCCACAGGATACAAAGCAGATAGTTTGGACATTTAATTGTGTGGTGGGGCAGTTTCTCAATAACAAGTTACATAGGTAAAGATAGGTGTAGTCCTTCTGCCAGGTGGAGCCAGCAGCAGCCAGGGCCAAGTTCAATATCAATTGCCCCAGCCCCATGGAGCAGCCTCTGGCCAGTAGCGCAGTTCCTGCCACCTTAGGCTGGCCCCAAGGAGCTACAAGGTCCCTGCTGCCCCTGGGCCACCTCTGGGGAGAAGCCAGTGGTAAAGGAGTACAACCTTCACCACCCCAAGCCAGCTCTAGAGAGTGGGGTAATGCTGAGTAAGTCTTCTGGTATAGACTAATATATTGACTTTTATTACACTTCATGGCAACAGAATGACAAAATGTGTGCCATGCATACCTTTAGTGAACTATGGGAATTAGCATCCAATCCATAAAAGTTCTTCTGTGGCTATGTGGTTTAATTTACAGTTCCTAATTTGACTGTAGGAAGGGCTTGATTATTCTGTCATCTTAGCTCAACAGTTCAGAAGGATGAAATTCTCCCTTTTCTCCTAGTTCCTTGTTAATATCCCATCACCAAAGAAACAAGGATGAAAGTAGGACACAACAGAGTAAATCAAGATCAATTCTTAGTCTCTTTGGCTGTGTCTAGACTGCATCCCTTTTCCGTAAAGGGATGCAAATTAGACACATCGCAATTGGAAATGAAGCAGGGATTTAAATCCCCCCTGCTTCATTTGCATAATCACATCCAGACGCTTTTTCAAAATACCCTATGTTGAAAAAAGAAATGCTGTCTAGACACGGTTATTTCGAAAGAAGGGGTTTCTTTCAAAATAACCCTTAGTTCTTATAAAATGAGGTTTCAGGGTTATTTCGAAAGAAGGGGTTTCTTTCAAAATAACCCTTAGTTCTTATAAAATGAGGTTTCAGGGTTATTTCGAAAGAAGGGGTTTCTTTCAAAATAACCCTTAGTTCTTATAAAATGAGGTTTCAGGGTTATTTCGAAAGAAGGGGTTTCTTTCGAAATAACCCTGAAACCTCATTTTATAAGAACTAAGGGTTATTTTGAAAGAAGGGGTTTCTTTCAAAATAACCATGTCTAGACAGCATTTCTTTTTTCAAAATAGGGTATTTCAAAAAAGCGGCCGGATGTGATTATGCAAATGAAGCATGAGAAATTCAAATCTGCACTTCATTTGCAATTTCGCTCGGCTGCATTTGCATTCCTTTGATAGATGGATATACCCGTCTTTGATATACCCTGTTAATTAATTCTTGATATAGTATAGAAATACTGGTAGGAGGAAACCATACAAAAATATAGATCCTGTTGCTTTATTGTCCATAAAGCAATCTCAGTCTAATCCGTCCAGGCAGGTACGACTGACGTAAAAACCAGGATCACTAAATCATCTTAATCCTTTACACTGACTACAATGCATGCAAGATCAAAAGAACTAGTCTGAAATGCTAGTTTCTGACAAAGGAAATGAAGAAATAATTCCAGTTAGTTGGAGATGGTGAAGTAGAGGGGCTGTTCTACAAGATATTAACCACAAGATAGAGAATAGAAATTATTTCTCTTACCTACCAATAGTGCTCCTGATCAAACATTTCATTGAAATACTCATGTAACTCAACCAGCATGTTTTATAGAATAAGGAATTCTGTCACAACCTGAATATCAAAAATGGTCACAATCTGTAAGAACTAATCCGAGGGATGGCAGACAGACATTAGAAACTGTTTCTTTGAGACACTGACTGGCCAATGGGATCAGAAGGGGGAAAATGGCACCCTTGTAGAAGAAAGAAAATGTCTTCCTCATATCAATCCACAGCAAGGGCCAGAGGAGGAGTAAGATACTGTTTCTTTAGTGTGGAATCCAAGATATACCTATCTGGTCTAACTCTTTCTAACCACAAACAGCTAAGTTATCCACCCATTTCCATTTGGTTCAATCTGATTTACTTTCTAAAGTAGTGTAGTAAGATGAGAGCCTGAAATTTACGTCCACGTATCACAGGCCAGGTCTGAGGCCTGAGGCCTAGACAGCAATGCTCAAGACTGATAATATAAAGCAGAGTTAAGCTGTGAGCAAGGAGCAGGCCCTTCTCACAGAAACTGGCAAGAACAGGGCAGATATTATAGAAACATTCATACCTAAGAGGTACAAGGCACAAGCTGTAAGCACATTCCAGAGACATCATAACAGAACACCTTGTTAACGAACACCTTGGTACTAATGGCCTCCCCTCAAATAATATACATCCTGACCCAGGTTCAAGACTGGATCTAAATTGACAGCATGATGGGTAGTAATGGAAACCCTCCTTCGGTGAGGTAAGGGGTGGTAACTAGCTAACAGAGAGTGGCAACTTGATATGTCAGGAGTGATGTGCATTCGCATTCTTGCAGTCCATGTTTATAAAAAAAGCACACACACACAGAGAAATTTCTGAGTACAGGACTGTCATTTGTACCTGTGTATAAGGATGGTTGTTTATTGACTATGAGGGTGACATTAAAATCCAGAGTGTTTATTTGGGTGTTAGTACATTGTCATGGAGTATACGTATACAGGCACATCAGAGAGTTTGTTCACTGACAACTCTTATTGTACCTCACTTGGCAATAAACCTAGTTGCTTTCAATCCTTATCTGATTTGTGGTCTCTGGGGGGGCTCTCTCAGAGCCTGTCGTGTTGATTAATTGCACATGGCTAACACATTAGACAGGGGAGCACACACACGTACACAGCCGAAATTTTATCATCCTTGACGGAGTAGAGGACCTTTCAGGAACCCAATTGGGATGACCTCGCCTGACTGATGATACTGGTGACCCTGACATGATTTGAACACACAGCCTTCTTTTTTTCTATCCAGAAAGAATAAAATGCAGGGGAATGTAGTAAGATGAAAGCCTGAAACATAAGCCCACATATCACAGGCTGGGTATGAGACCTGAGGTCTAGACAGCAATGCTCAAGTCTTTGCTAACATAAAACAGAGTTAAAGAGGGAGGCTTGCTCACAGAAATTGGCAAGAACAGTGCTGATATTACAGAAACAT